CTGGATTTTGTTACTTTTTGTTTGGATATAAATTTAACTGAATTTTCATTTTGATCCTCAAATTTAATTAAAATTTAATTTAGTCATCGTAAAAATTTAAAAAAATTAGGCCTAATTTGGGGTGTGACAACAATTTAAACACTAATTTTTACATTAAGCCTTTATATTCAATACTCACCTTATAACCTTCAATTTTATGGGGATAAATTATTTCAAGCCATCATACTGTTACTTTAAGAATGCCAAAGTTATTATTTAACCACTTTTGCAAGAAACTCGACTTGTTTGATCATTTTAAAACGGTTGTCCTTATTTGAAAAAAAAATACTTCTAGCATTTATTTATCTTCATCAGTACATGAAGGATTCCTAGTAAACGAACCACTACAGAACTTCGGCTTCTTAGGGAAGGATAGGCAACTATTATCCACTTTTTTTATGTCGTTTTGAATTTGAAGTTTGAGATCCCATTCTCATCTCTTCGGAATTTTGTTGCTTTGGGACTCTCCTACACTGAGACCGAGGATTACGCGACTGCCGCCGAGCTTAAGCCGTATTTCTTCAGGCCATTGATGTACTACTTGACCCTTCAGCATGTCACAGTGCTCAGAACAACACGCTTCAGGGCAGCCAATAACACCACGCAAGAAGCGGACTAGAGGAATTCTTTCATAGCTAAAGGAAACCTCAAAATCATCTTCGCCACGTCTACGCATCTTCTTTTTCCTCGTTGATGGCTCCCTTACTGTCATAGCTGAATGAGGAGAAAGGGGGGGAATTAAGAGAAATGAAGGGTTATGGATTCGTAAATTAGGGCAATGTAAAAAGGGAACTGAGGCAAAAGAAGAAATGACCGGAGAAAGGAAAAACGACTGTGTTTGATTAACAACACGATCAAGTAGATCAACTTGAGAACAAAAGAATACCAATTACTTGACAAGCAAGCCAAAACCACACACTGGGGAAGGAACCAACTTAATCTTTAAAAAATCCTTTGCACTTCACTTGCGACTCAATCGACAAAGATGAATAATCTTTAAACCAGTTTATAAGAATTAATTCATAAGATCAACCGATAACGATAAAAAGTCAATTAACTTTTCCTATGGTCAAATTAAATATCTTTCATTCTTTATTTATAGGAGTTTATTTGAATGCATTAAATTCATAAGAATTCAAATATATTTATTTTTAAAAAATTCTTCCCAACTTTTTTAATCCTTTAGTCTAGAAAATATGAGTTTTTATAATATAATAATAAAAAGTTCTAGACCAAAATTCCGTACCAAATTAGAAGTATGTTCACTCAATTAGAATAGTAAAAAATAGGAGGGTTTAAAAATACCGGATCTAGATGATTTGGTGAGTTCATCCGTCGACCTAGTTTAAAATTCTCATGTATTTATAGTATAAATATATATATTTTTCAGGTCGGGTGTATGGCCCGTTATTTTTGGCGAGTTTTTGTATTGGGCCTGAATCATAAAATAATATTTAATCGGGTACCCGTCGATATGTTCTTATACATATATTTTTTAACTTTATTTTTTATTCATAATTCTTAAATTATTGTACTCTAACATCCTAAATTCCTTAAATTATTTCACCATAACACTCTAATTATTTTTATTTTAACTTCAAACTTATTCTAAATTTAATTATATTTATTTATTTATTTTAATTTTGAATAAATTTTATCTTTCAATTATAAGCTTTATGGGTGGATTATGTACTATAAAATTTTAAATTATATATTTTTTCTATGATTTTTTTAGAAATAATATAATTTTTTTTAAAATAAATTAAAAAAATTGAATGAGGTACTCGTGATCAAGAAATAAGATACCCGACTTATAGGTATCCAAATTTAATGAGCCAAAACATGAGTCCACATTCTAGTATTCAAAAATTCCAAATACTTGATATTTGGACACACAAAAATGCATATACCCAATTTTAAACACTATTAGTAAAAAGAAAATTCTACAACAAAATCTAATTTTGAATTCATATAGCATCTTAGCTATTCATATTGGTCTATCATTATATTTTAATTGTACAACAGCGAAAGAAAAAGTCAGCATTAACAACAATCAATTGACTCAACCATGCTGACGTTTTATGCATTAAGCTACAAGCAATTGCATCAGATATCGCCACATGCACTGCCAATCCTTATCATAAGAAGCTAACAAGAAGTCCACCAACCATTGCAACACAGACTAGTTAGCTTCATTGGTCCCTAACGGATGAGCAGTTGCGAACGGCAGCCGAAAACGGAGACGTTGATGCACTATACACGTTGCTCGCCGATGATCCATATATTTTAGACCGTATCGATCATATACCGATCGTCGATACCCCATTGCACGTCGCTGCCGTTGCAGGAAAGCCTCATTTTGCCATGGAAGTAGCGAACTTGAAACCGTCGCTTGCTTGGAAGCTAAATCACATGGGGCTCAGTCCTCTCCATATTGCTTTGCAGCATGAGTGCATGAAAATGGTGAGAGGGCTAATCACACTTAACACTCAGCTTATCCGAGTGAAAGCAAAAGGGATGATTACTCCTTTACACTATTTGGCACAGATTGAAGATCCTGATCTTTTAGCTGAATTTTTTCTGCCTGTCCATCGTCTGTTGAAGACACCACAGTTCAATGCGAGACTGCTGTGCATGTTGCTGTTAAAAACTACTCGATAAAAGTTTCCAAGTCCTTGTGGGATGGCTTCGACGAGCCGACAAAGATGACGTTCTGAACTGGAAAGATGAAGATGGTAACACTGCTCTGCATATTGCCGTATCTACTAATCAGACAGAGGCAAGCTTTAATTACTTGCTGTAAACTAATAATTTCACTACATGATTATTGTTAATTGATTAATTAAACTTTGTTTTTTGATCATGAAGGCGGTGAAGACGTTGATTAAGAATGCCAACGTTAACGTGAAGAACCTCGATGGTTTAACAGCTATGGATATATTTCACCTGCAAGGATCATTGCAGAACGCTGAAATTGGAACTGTTAGATTTTGACGTTCAGTTGGATTCTGGTATAATTTATTGTGTATGGTTTGTTTCTTATTAACATTGTGTAGATCATCTTAGGTAAGATTCTACACAAGGCTAAAGCAAAAAAGCATCTGATCTTACCTCAAACATGACTCTGGGGGATTACTTCAGCAGGGAACTCACCCTGATTGATAAACGAGACAAATATTTTGGATTCAACACCCAAAATAAACACAACGACATCCGTACAGTGGTTCTTGTGGTGGCTATACTGATTGCAACAGCCAGCTACCAGGCTGGACTTAGCCCTCCCGTTGGGTACTGGCAAGATGATTATAAAGCACAGGCAAACAATGGCTCCAACAACGGCAACAGTACCAGCCTGGAGCAAGGGCAAAGGGCACACCGAGCAGGACAAATGATGATGAATCCCTCCGATCTTGTCTCTTTCTTTATTCTCAACGGTTTAGCTTTTTATCTGTCAGTGTGGACGATTCTGGTTATTATAATAGGCCTCCCATTGTCGGGAGCTCTTTATACGTCAACATCTCTTCTTCTGTATGGTTATTATGCTTCCATGGAAGCTACCTTCCCGACGGAGGGAAGCGTGGGTTTAACCGTTGGAAGGTTCTTATACATATCGGTTACTGTCATATCCACAGTGGCAGTATACTTGACTCCTTCGATTGCGTGTAGGACAAATGTGCATAGAAAACACATTTTTTTTATAGAAATCACCTTCTGCTTATGTGACAAACTTCGATCATAACTTCTAAAGGTTGAATTAAAATAAAAAAAAGAATAAAAATATTAAAAAATTATACAATTTTATTAGAAAATAAACATGCACGTTACGTGTTGAAGACACGTTAGTAATAACACATATGTATTAGTCTTAATATAATTCTTTTATGTATTTAAATATAACCTTTTAAATATATATTTATTAACTAATTTAATATAAAAAACTAATACACACGCGTTGCCACACACGGCTCATACTTTTAATATTATACTTCTTCGATATACTATATGCATTTATTATTTTAGGCAATATTCATAAGAGTTTTGTATATTATAAGCTTTATCTTTTTTCCTTTCTTTTGTAGACAAAAGATATATTCTCTTACGTGACAGACCCTTTATCTTACATAATAAAAAATACTAATCTAAAATGCATATTATTTGAGAAAAATTAATATCCTAACACATTAAATTAACTAATAATTAATCCCAAATTCATTTATTCATGTCCATATATTTTTTATTAATATAGAATAATTATAAATAATATTTATTCTAATTTTAAATCATTTAAAAATAATAATTCAAATATTCTTATAATCTTTTTGAAGATTCAACATGACTTCTCTAAATATAACTATCATCTCATTAACTGCAGTAGTTTGATTTGGTTCGTACTTCATGCCCAAATATGAAATAACTGAAAAGGACAACCTCAATCCGAACAAACTAGTCTCAACCATGAATTGAACTGAAACTCCTAGAAGTGTAAACGAGCCGAGTCGAGTTCGAGTATTGCTGAGCTCGACTAGACTCAAAAACTCTAAAATAGAGCTCGACTCGACTCGAAAACTCGCGAACTTAAAATTTTTAAGCTCGAATCGAACTCGAAATCCTGAACTGAAGCTCGTGATCAGCTCGAAAAGGCTCAAAATGAATTTTTTTCTCTTAAATTTAACTCGATTGAAACCTCAAACTCAAACTCGAACTCAAACATGAACCTTAAATACATGGAAATCTTACTCTATTTAAAAAATCAATACATAAATGTTAATATTATTAATAATTTATTTTAAAAAATCTTAATATATTATTTTCAAGTTGCTCACGAGCTTTTCGAGTCGAATATCAAGTAGCTCGTTTCGGCTCGTTAAAAACTCGAGTCGAGCTCGAGTCGAGTCCATTCGATCCAAGTATTTATCGAGCCTTGATCGAGTCGATCTCGAATAACTCGCGATCTGTCTCGTCTTTTCTCCCTCTCAACATGCCCTTTCTTCTACTATCCATTCCCAAGTCTTTACCGGAAAATGGAGCCGGGATTTCAGCTTCAGTTGCCGCCGTTGAAGACTCAACACCCGTGGGGTCTAAAGGAGCGGCTATGAGTATGACCTCTGGTGCAGCAGTTGAGGTTTTGAGCAAGTTTGAGGACCCAAAGTGGATTTGGGGAACTTGGGACTTGAAACAGTTTAAGAAAGATGGTACCACTGACGGGGATGCTGTTATTGATGCTGGTAAGTTTATACTCTGACACTTCCATTGGTGCTTTCTGGTTTATGTGATTCCTTTTGTTTGTAACAGGATAATCCAGAAACCACCAGTAATGATGACCCTGTAGTGTTTGATACATCCATCATACCATGGTGGGCATGGATGAAGAGATTCCATCTACCTGAAGCCGAATTGCTTAATGGTTTGTGAAAATCTATATATATATATATATATATATATATCATGAATTGTGAAATCTGTACTGTTTAACCATGATTTGTTGTTGTGAGTAATGTGCAGGCCGGGAGGCGTTGTAGGGTTCTTCATGGCGTTGTAGGGCAACTTCCTTTGCAAAACTCTATTGTTTGTTGCAGTTGTGGGAGTGCTTTTAATCATGAGGCGACATGGCAGGACGACGACACCGGTTCGTTCATTTTGAGCTCTCTGTCCTTTTAACAATTCATAGTTTCTTAAGTGCCTAGCAATGTAAGTGTTTTGAATGTTATGAGCATTATTTAAGCATCAATGAAATGCATTATTTTTCCCTTTTCTTATTTACTGTTTTCTAAGTCTTGGCTAAGACCCTTTAATGAGTGTGTTCAATATCAGGCTAAAGTTCACTAACCGCGATTGAAACTTTAAATCTCTTGCTAAGACTCTTAATGCTAAAACGAGAATTCGGCAGTCATATCGGCATTACGTTGTGAATCTAAAGCTTTAGCCATGATTAAGAAAAGGGATTGATAGGAAAACAGGGAATATGAGTTAAAGCCTATAGACTTTTACAAAATGCAGCAGATAGAGTTGCAGAGCAAACGGTGAAGAAACAAAAGACTAACATCATGCTTCCCAACCCCTCAAAAGCGTAGCGCGAGCAACCTTGTTGACTCCTAGGGTGAAGGCTCCCATTCTGAGGTTGCAGTTATAAGTATGACACATTGCTTTGATGTCATCAAAAGCTCTCTTCATGTACCTCTTAAGCTCATAGTTGACCTTTTCTTCTTCCCACATGAATCCTTGGATGTTCTGTACCAATATGCACGATCATGTTATATACGCATAATGAACTTCTGTTGTAAACCAGTTATGCTCACACACAAAAAGAATGAAATAAGTGCAGAACTAACCACTATGCTGAGAGAGTAGAGTGGAAAATGAAATAGTTGGTGTTACCTGAACCCATTCGAAGTAACTTACAGTCACGCCACCAGAATTTGCATATATGTCAGGGAGTATAACCACACCTTTCCTGGACAAAATCTGCACGAAATCGAGATTCCGGTATGTAAATATGTTAAAAAGAAAGTTACATCGTTAAAAGACTTGGTTTAAGGCACAATTGCCACAATACTTCATCTGCTTCTGGATCAGTGGGATGATTTGCGGCTTCTATAATAAACTTTGCCTTCACATCAGCAGCATTCTCCCTTTAAAAGAAACCGAAATCAATTCAGTTGCATAGTAACAAAGAAAGGAATTGATAAATTGTAAACTTTCTTTGTAAGAAGTTCAGACTGCAGAGTATATACTTGTTCAGAACTCCACCTAATGCACATGGGATCAGAACATCACATTCATGAACAAGCAAGTCATTAGGATCCATGATGTCTCCGCCTCCGAAATCTTTCAAACTACTAGTTTTCTCTTTGTGTTTCAGTAGAGCTGGGATATCAATTCCATTTTGGTTTTTTACTGCACCAGTAATGTCACTAACTGCAACAACCTTTCCACCTTTCTGATGAATAAATGTTGCTGCCCAGGATCCCACATTTCCAAACCCCTAAGAACATAGTAATTCAAATTATTGAACCAAATACTAGACAAGAAGCATATTATAGAGGAAGAATCTTGGAAGTACCTGGATAGAAAACGTCATATTCGGAATCGACATTCCGTATTCGGCAAGAAGAAACTCAGTTGCGAAAACAACCCCCCTTCCAGTTGCAGCTTCTCTACCTAGTGAACCCCCAAGCTCCTACAAAGCCAAACCAATACCAAAGAATCAAAAAGCTGTTTGTACTCTACCGAGCAACCCTTCAGGTGGGAAACTCTGGCAAGGAAACTTACGACTGGTTTTCCTGTAACAACGGCGGGCGAATAACTATGAAATTTCGAGTATTCATCAAGAATCCATGCCATTGTCTGCCCAAATGAGAGATCAACACAGAAGCACAGTTGCATGTGAATTTCAAATGTGATTGCTGACAGAATACAGTAAGGTAATAACTAATGTCTGATAGCATCTCATCGGACAAGAAACAGATTACCTGTGAATTCGTTCCCATGTCAGGTGCAGGAACATCTCTATGAGTTCCGATAAGATCATGAATCTTCTGGGTGAAAACACGAGTAACACGTTGTAGTTCGCTCGCACTCAACTCCCTAGGATTACACCCAATTCCACCCTTTGCTCCACCATAGGGAATATCTGCTACAGCCGTCTTCCAAGTCATTAACTGAGCCAGTGCGTTCACCTCATCCGGATCAACCTAGAACCAGAAAAACAGGTTCATACATAGTACAGACTGGAATATTCAAAGTCGACATTAAATCGTCATAAACCCGATAGGCATATTTCATCATTTATAATCACTAATCTCGCTTTCAACCAGTACTCTGTATGAACATGTTTTCTGTCCATTTAGATCACTTCGATCAAACCATATATCAGCCAATTCACTATCAAACATAAGTGTGAATCACTTAGAACTAGTAATCCAAACTGATAAATCTACTTTGATCCACTCAAAACAGAGTCTAATTACAAAGGGGGGGGGGGGAACAGGTGAAACTCAATCAAGGCATCGATCAAACGACTAAATCCATGAATATCAGAGGCAGTGAAAGAAAAGTCAAAATATGTATTATGATAACCTCAGGGTGGTAACGGATTCCGCCTTTCATAGGTCCACGAGCATTGTCATGTTGAATTCTAAATCCAATATAAGACACAAAAGAACCATCATCTTTTGGAACTGTGCATTCAACCTGAAAACATATGGTAAAAAACCTCCATAACAAGAGCATGGTGAAGTAAAAATTAAATAAAAATGAAAAAAAAAACCAACTAATATTGAGTGCAAAGCAAAACATACTTTGATTTCTCTGAAGGGTATCAAGAGGCTTTTCTGAAGCTTAGAGTCCAACCCAAGTATCCTTGCTGCATGCTGAAAGTTGCGGTTGGTTGCTGCAAGAGCATTCATGGCTACCTGAAAAGTAATAAAATTCAACAGTGAAAACCAAGAATTTGAAGTTCACAATAAGAAGAATGAAATGTCAAATTGGGGTTATTGTTTATGTGAAGGATAAGTATGAGTTTATATATGGCAAATATTATCAGGCCTGTAGAATACAATCCAAAAAGTCACACGTGGCAGGAGACATTTGGGATGCATCCCGTACTGCATTTATCGTTTAGTGAAACTTTTGGACCTTGTCTTGCATAAGTTTCGACTTTAACCCCTTTTTTATTTTAAAATATTGGAATCATTATATCTTTTATAATATTACAAGTAAATTTATAAATTGATAAAACAATTATTGAATTAATAAATAGATTGCAATAAAACTTTTAATTAATGTATTAATAATAACAAATAAAACTCACACTAATTTCAATTATTAATTTTTTATAGAATATTTAGGGCACTCAACTTAAAAAACTAATTAAATCCTTCAAAACATTAAAAAAATTTAAATTTTAAAAAATATATTAAAAATGAAAATTTTAAATACATCACTTATCGGCACCATAAAACGACATGTAATGGCACGTAATCTGAAAAATTATTAGATTTAATTATCATCATTGATCAAATAAGTAACTTGATAATATTTTGAAGTGAAATCATGCAAATATAAAAAAAATCATTTAAAAAAAATTAAAATTCTTCGAACATTCTTAAACCATAAAAAAAACTTTGAAATTTTTATATAATTATCAATCATTTAAGAACAAGAACAAAGATACACACATGATTTTATATTAAGAGATCAACTTATAAAATTTTAGAAGTAAAAATAAACTATCAATAAAAAATATATAAAAATCTAAATTACATGAGAATTTAAAATTTTCAAGAGCTCAACCATCTTCGCCAATCCCTAATTCCATATCCCAAAATGAGAGGTCTCATGGGCTCCATTCCCAAAATTGAACATAATCAAGTTGCAGTTCAGATACATCAACTTGCCAAATGATAGAAACTGAAAATAGTGGGCGCAATATGGATTCATTTAAAACGAACCATACAATGGCAATGACACAAATGTCCAAGACTGCTTATTTTTACGCATAAAATGGTGTATAGTAGAGAATTAAAAGTGTACTATAACCGTTGTTGTCGAGAATACTCCCATAAAGCAATGGCGCCACTGACATGTACGTTGAGTGATCGAACAACTCCCAACTGAGGTATCTCGATGCAAGCATCCAAGACATGGATTATATCCACTGGTATACCCTCCTTTTCACGCCCAAGGACCAAGACCTACCAACACAATAAAACAGGGACATGAATTCCCTCTCGACATCGATTGAAGTCGCTAGTATTTTTCTTCTTCTTTCAGATAAGCGCCTTCCACTGATATACAATGGAAACTAATATGCCAGGCCAAATGGACGTGTGCTTTAAAGAATTTGACTTACAGTCTTTTTCGGATAGATATACTGATCAAGAGGTACACTGTTTGCAGTTTGCTCTAATCCCAAGATCGAATAACCTTCCCGCTTCTTTTTCTCCAAGAATTGTTTCACACTATTTACAGGGACTTCTATAATAGGAACCCACTTCTCTGCCGTCACACTGCAGAGCACAATTCATGTGAATGCGTTAAGCACTCGGTAACGCATTGGAATCAAGTTCCGGGAACCAGAGTTCCGAAACAAAAGGTCATTCTTACATAAATCATGAAACCACATATGCTTCTGCCATGTACTCTATATTTTCAAAATTATGATACGCTGAACTTTTACAAGAAACATAAATCTAGAAAATTGGAAGTCACGTGCAAGACATGCAAGTCCAGGATTTGATTAAGTCTATATGAACCTTAAAAACAAACAATATTGAGTCTATGATGGCTATATTACTATTGTTGCAAGTTCTGCAGAATTCCTTTCGCATAAAACAGCAGATCGAACTCTAATGCCTGAAGAACCCAACCGTTCACCTAACGTTAAGCGGCCTCTCATTAGGAACCTTAAAAATGATGGCATCATTAATAGGCCTAATACTCGATTTAAACCCCAAACTATACTTTTTTCTAACTTTGGTGCTTAAATGATCATTCCATTCCAATTTACCTCAAAAAGTGCATTAAAAGAAAAACAGCTGGCAATGTCAGCCAATAAAAATGTTACATGTGGCAGATAACATCATTAATGACATGGACAAGGCAAATACATAGCGCATTGTTTTTGGCTAGTATTGCAACCTGTTTTAAAAATTTAGACGGAATGATAGTTCAAGTACTAAAATAGGCCAAGAATAAGTTTAAGTACCAAAGTGGAAAATGGATATAGTTCAAGGGCGAAACCGTGAATAAGGCCTTATTAATATTAGTCTTGGAAGTCTACAGAATTCCTTTCTATATTTGTAAATTAAAATGAAAAAAGCAGATCATAACTCTATTTACTGAAGAACCAGACCACACCTAACATGGAGGGGGAACTTTTTAGTCATATGATAAATGCCAAGCAAAAAGGGGTGGTACAGAAAGTTATAGAACATGTGAAACTATCATCAAACCTGATGAGTTGAAACTGTTTGTCATGTACTATTTTTGCATCTGCAACAGCTAATCCCAGTGCTTTAAAAACCTGAAAGGAACAATAATTGCGTTGTGTAAACAATAGATATGCAATAACTAAGGGTGTATTTGGACAGGGTAATTGCAATAAAGTTCAATTATTAGGGTAGCAATTATACCCACTTATAATTACAAAGAATTCTAATTTCCTATACATGTTTGTCTTACAGGGCATAAATACTCTCAATTTGATAGAATCCAAGAATTAAAAAATGAATACTTTTTATAAAAATAAAGGGTAAACTACGTATTTAATCACCCAACCAACTATTCTCACTGTTCTGTTTTGGACACCCAATTATTTTTTTTTCAAAATCAAACCTAAAGTTACATTTTGGTCACCCGCCGTTAAAAAATAAACAGAACTGTTGACGTGATAATTTTTTTTTCAATGTTGATGTGGAATTACCTTATGGTGACACATTAACATCACTATTAATTTTTAATGGTTGGTGACCAAAACAGAACCGCGTGAATAGCTGGGCGACTAAATACATAGTTTTCCCAACAAAAAAAAAGTTGGAAAGTCCATCGTGAATAATTAAGCGCATAATTCTCTCAAATTTTAACCCACTGGAAGAATTGGAGCAACACTCTAATTACATTGAATTCAATGGGACCCACTAATTACAATGGTGTTAACTCAACATGCCACTTGTGACAAGCAATTGTACCCAAATACCATACTGGGTGGCTTTCCAAACACAGCCTAAATAAGAATCAAGCCACAAAGCACAAAGAAAAATAACTTAATAACTGGCAAAAAAATACCTCACAGGTACGCGCCAATCCAGCAAGGTTGGGTATGCGATCAATAAATGATGCTACTAGGATAATATGCTGCCGGTTTCCTCTTATCTTCTCCATAGCCAAGCTTCTAGACCTCCACAACTGATCAAGAAGATCATCTTCCTTTTCCATTTCTGTTTTGCACATTATTAAAGACACGATATATCAATTAAAAACTTTGGGTCATCATATGTAAAGAGGGATATAGAAGGGGTCAAAACATGAATGTCCGGCTCTATTGATTAACAATGTAACTGACAGAATCACCAAATCCAGCCCAAAATATGCAGTTTCACAAATAAGGCATCAACTGTGAAGAGCTTTAACCTTCAAATTGTTTAGTTCTCAAACTTAATACGTACCTAAAAGTTGCTTGTAAACTTCTCCCTTGCCTAATAAGGAACTGGAACCCAAGTCCTGCTTATGTTCAGAGAGAGTAATCTTTTTCTGGAAGTCCAAATGAGCATCTTTAGGCAACTCCAATTTCCTTTCACAAGCACTAGACAGTTCTTCAATCGCTTCAGCCATATTGAGGCTTTCATTCTTGATTGTCACAATATCCTTCGCCATCGAACATCTCAGATCTTCCCTCACATCCTTAAGTAACAGAAAAATTAGCTATCAACAAAGCATGACAGAAGAAATAAAAGCGTACAACTGCTTACATTTAGAAAGTTGAGCACTTGATCCATTAGAGATGTTGGAACAGATTCAAAACCAATTTCCTGCAATTTTTACCACAAAAGGAAAAGGAGAGTTAATTTTTTTTTGATAAGATTTGAAGGTCTCTTTAAAAACCTCCTTCTTGATTAATGGAGCTTGTAAAGAAGCTTCTTAATCATCGGAAGGAGGAAAAGAGTGCCTTATAATTTCATTGAAGAAAATAAGAATTACAACCTTGGAAAGAAAAATCCAAGTAGAACCCTTACAACAATTCTTGAGCCTTAAAACCAAACTATAGAAGTCAACAACATAATAATCAACCTATACCAGCCTTTGCTAGTTAGTGAAAGCATTCCTCAAAAGCATACAAGTGAAGAAATGCAACACCATATTAACTTTTTGATCCAACAGTTCATAGTTGATACGCAACAAGTAAATTTTGCAACCCTGATCTTTCCATAAGAACCATCAATTCAGGGAGAAAAAGACATTCAGCAGTTAAGTTAATTACAGAACCATAGTATTAAATGAATCCACACCAAAAGAAAGAAAATTTTCCACCAATAGTATTCTATCCAGTGATGGATTTTCAACAATCATAATTAGCTTATCAAAGCATTTATGCAAGAATTCAATCACGCAGAAAAAAATTCTGAAACCATAATTCGGAATTCATAAGCTAACTCTTTGTTTCCTAAATTTTCGGAACATAGCCAACTGCATTATGAAATACCATACCTCCACCCGACTAACAAAAATTCCAGCAGGAGTAACAGAGGTTTTTGGATTATAAGCATCAAGGTAGCCTTCCATTGAATCTCGCAAGCTGAGAGGCAGTAAAATATACATGTCAGGATTCAAAGTATTGTACTGCAACCGCATTCATGAAATTGCTTTTGAAATCACTATACTTCATTGGAAGCCTTTATGTCTTCCATTTTCTCTACTTCAACTCCAACATGGGCAGAGAAATGGCAAAGTTACAAACATAACAAAATATGCATAACATTGAGTTGGAATCCCTAAAATTAAGGATATATTACTTACCTTATTCCTAGGAGTTTCCTTGTACAGTAGAATCTAATCTTAGTTTCTAATTCTTAGGGAGTTACTGATTTTTAGGGATTGTTCTCTTATTTACACTTAGACTACTCTATAAAGGTTGTAAATTATTCAGTAAATAATAACAATCTTTTTTTAAGTTTGTTCACGGTATCGGAGATTTAAGGATTTTTGATTCCGTCATCTCTAATCTCTTGTCCCAAACATCCCTCCTCTTTAATCTCTCTTGCCTCCTGTTTTATTCCTACCTATGGGTGACACAATCGAAACTTCACCCGATACTGAAACCTCACAAATGATTCCAATGATTCCAAATATCAATCAAGGAACCCCTCAAGGGGACCTTAATTCCTCTCTTATGATCATCAACCATCGACTAGATGGGAAAAATTTCTTGCAATGGTCCCAATCGGTCATTATGATAATTCGTGGTCGTGGCAAACTAGGATATATCAATAGAGGCATCCCACGACCAGCCACAATAGACCCAACTTATGGCACTTGGGAACTCAACAACTCAATCGTAATGGCTTGGTTAATTAATTCAATGGAAGGCCATATTAGTCGCACCTACCTCTTCTTCAAAACTGCAAAAAGATATGTGGGATGCAATCAAAGAAAACTACTCGGATCTTGGAAATGCCTCCCAAGTATTTGAGATCAAACTGAAGTTGAAGGACATCCGACAAGGAACACTTGAAGTAACTCACTACTACAATAATCTGAAAATTTTGTGGCAGGAACTGGACATGTACTATGAGGCAGACTGGGGATAAGGAGTGGAACATACCAAGTTTATGACTCACCTCAACAATGAACGTCTCTATGAGTTTCTAGCAGGACTGAACCGAGAGCTAGATGAGGTGTGTGGTCAAATTCTGGGTAGAACCCCCCTGCCAACCATTGGTGAAGCATTTGCAGAAGTTAGAAGAGAAGCGTCGACTTGTCATGATGGGTGATTCAAAGGAACCTAAACCCATGACAATTGCTGGTTACCGTCCCACTGAAAACTCAACCCTTATCTCTAGAGGCCCACTGATCAGGATGGAGAATATATCGACAGGGGGAGATATCAACGACTAGTAGGGAGACTTATCTACCTATCTCACACTCGTCCGAACATAGCTTTCGGTGTGAGTGTTATCAACCAGTTCATGCACGCTCCAAGGGAGAAACATCTAGAAGCTACGTACAGGATATTAAGGTATCTCAAAGGGACTCTAGGTAAAGGCCTGCACTTCAAGAAAACTGGCAATCGAAGTGTAGAAGTATACACTGATGCAGACTGGGCAGGTGCTATTAACGACAGACGTTCTACAAGTGGTAGCTACGTTTGGGGTAATCTTGTAACATGGAGAAGTAAAAAACAGTATGTTGTAGCACGCAGCAGTGCAGAGGCAGAGTATCGAGCACTATCCCATGGTATATGCGAAGGAACCTGGATACAAAGACTACTGGGAGAACTAAAAGTGTCCTATACAAGACCTATAAAAATGCATTGTGACAACCAGACAACTGTCAACATAGCACATAATCTTGTTCACCATGATCGCACCAAACATGTGGAAATTGATCGCCACTTCATCAAAGAAAAAATTAACTCGGGAGAGGTTTGTGTTACATACATACCTACGAGACAACAAGTTGCTGACTTGTTGACCAAAAGCTTGAGCAGAAACATGTTTGAAGAAATTATTGGCAAGTTGGGTTTGATAAATATCTACACTCCAGCTTGAGGGGGAGTGTTAGAATCCCTAAAATTAAGGATAGATTACTCATCTTATTCATAGGAGTTTCCTTGTACGGTAAGATCTAATCTTTGTCTCTAATTCTTAGGGAGTTACTGATTTTTAGGGATTGTTCTCTTATTTACACTTAGACTACTCTATAAAGGCTGTAAACTATTCAGTAAATAATAACAATCTTCTTTTTAAGTTTGTTCACATTGCAAAGGAAATTTAATGGACAGCCTTTGAAATTTTCTTTTTTATTGCTCGAAGTTCTTAGTATCACAAAGTTGTCAATTGTATGATACTAGAAAATGTAGATAAATGCCATACCGCATGCAATCAGAATTCTTTGCCAGGTACAATTTCAAATCCTCGAAGCACCTTTTTTCCAAAAGTATGAACTCGGAGCTTTTAAGATCTGGTGGGGGGAAAAATTTGCCAAGTACTTGGTGTAACAAAACCTGCAAAGAAAGTCCGAATGAAAATTGCTTTAAAAAAGTAAAGATAATGAAAATTTAGATGTGGCATTCGTCAACTTGCAAGAAACTCACCTGAGTAAAGCCACGTAAGCTATGATGATGTGAGGTTAATAATGGGAGTATGGGAGGAAGTAGTTCGTCCAAATGCTTGACTTGAAAGTCTTTAGAAGCATGGAGGATCACGTTAGCTGCTATGAAGACATAGGAAGAAAGTGCCTGCATTTGATGCACAAAGTTCAATATGGTAAACATACAGTAGTAGTAACATCCCCATTCACCACAAATAGAATGTAAATAAATGAAAAAAAATAGTTAATATCCCCCCCCCCCGAAAATGAGTATCACTTCTAACTATACTAGGAAATTGGTTAAAGGCGTGCATGCTTATCTATCTGTTTGTAAGGTATATGCTTTCCTTTATGTATATAGATTATGCATGCAGCATAAAATCAATAACCATTCAACTATGCATGAAGGCAATATAAATCATTCTTCATAGATGCTATGTCGTGTGATCGGGAAACTTTTATAAGATTCTAAAAAAGAATGACTAAATAAAAAATATGTCAAAACAACTTTAAGCAGAGGAAGCACAGTTATCCTTATTTCATTACTTACCTGAGGTCTCATGTCATAATCTCGAAACAAGGGAACCAATTGCTTTGAAACCTGTGATATGATTATCGCAATCAAATAATATCAGCTGAATGACTCCACAAGACCTAAAAGTTAATAGAAACTAGGGACATTTTTTATGTCAAGTAATTATGACTCAAACATGATTTCAGAAAATATGGCTATTCCTTCTAGATGGCAATAGCATCATTCAAGAAGCCTTTAGCAAATGATCCCAAGCAAAAGAAAGCTGAAATTCAAAGGGGCCTCTTCTTTATGGGTGTCTAGACAGGCTTGTTTCACTCTCTTGAAATAATATTCAACAACTAAGGCATGCAGAATGCTGGAATGAATATGTGTGCTTCTGCACATATTCCAAATGCATGAATAAGCTTTACTTGGTAAATAGATTTAAGATGGTGTGTTACCAAAGAGGGAAATTTCAAGTAAATATTAATTGCAAATGTTTCCAAGTACTGGCGAACAGAAGGAAAGTTGTTTCTCTGCAAAGAGACATGAGCAGCAAATCAGAGATATAAAATAAAACATTATAATATTACTGTACAAATTAGTACCGCATAGAAATTCAATCAAAATAAGGATGAAAATAAAATAGGATTAATTCCAATCAAGAAATCTTAAAACACAACATGGACACCGCAAACAAACAAAACTAAACAATTCGATCAAAATATAAACATTGAAGGGAAAAAAGGTTCCATTCATATCCAAGAGCATTTTACACATCCAAAAGTCAAATAATTGATTAAAAACCATTTAACATTATCAGTTACACCCTTCTAACTATCAATGGCAGCTAATGAGCTAACTACAACGAGCACCATACAACGAGCACATATACTACGGATATGCAGCAACAAAGGGAAAAAGGCATCCCTGTATAAACATTCCATGATTTATGAAACCACCTAACAGCAACCTGTGTCAGCATTAGATAGAAGCATTCTGCCTTTCAGAAGTATAAAGTAAAACAAACATTATCTACACGCACACACAGCAAGCATTCGAAAAAAATATATATTTGAGATAAGTTTCCATTAAATATTTATCAAAATAAAAAAAATTACCTGGTATTCTCTCCAAAACAACTTATTGAACTTGCCATATTATGAAACTTCAGCAAACTATAATTAGTTAAGAGAGAACTATCAGATTTTCTAAAAGAAGCAACAGTTACTTACATACAGAGCAAGTTGCAAGCAATGTGTAACTTCTCCAACTACATCATCATCAACAAATTGTGACAGAACACATATCATCTGCCAAGCACGTACTTTTCGCCTATGGATCTGTTGAAGAAATGACAGGACAGAAAACAAGCATTCTAATAAATCTGAAAAGTAGAAATAAGAATCTGAAGAAAATGAAGAGAAAAGTATCAGATACCACGCTATGCTTCTTATACAACTCTTTTGCAAGATCCTTATCATTTAGCTGCATCAAAAATGAATGCCAAGTTGAAGAGGAAAGTTTTCCCTTATCAACAAATGCAGAAAAGCATAACGTACTTTCTTTTCATGCAAGTTGGATATAAATGGTTAATTAAGGCAGCATTGTAACCAACAATGTGACATTCTGTGTAACTTCAAGAGTGAGATACATGAATACGGGAAAATAATATTTCTTTGAGATAGGGTTCTACATACATATACCACACACTTCTCTTGAAACAATCATACAAATTAGTCAGAAGACTCGTGCAAGCATAAATTGAAAACATGACCCTACTTCCTTCCTGTGTCAACTTGTTTCACATTGTCAACAAACTCAATTTACTCCAACAACAACGCAATTAATTTTCTAATAAGAGGTAACATACTGCATTGTTGAACATATTAAATTATTAGTTATATCATACTCCTTTACAATGTGGAATAACAATCAATTGATGTTGATATAAAAGAACAATACCACAGAATCCAGAAGCTCTAGCAGAAACAATTTTCCAGATTCAAGGGTTGACTGGCATTCTTTGTCTCCAATAGATGATCCCGTCATATTAGTCAAGTGAGCCAGCTTGTAAAAGAGATTAGCAACAGACACACGTGCATATAACTCCGTGTTTAAAAATGCCTGAAAACAGAAGCTGATATATTCAGTAATTCAGGGAACGCAATTTATTTACTATTTTTATGCAATGGATATTCAGAAAATCACCATAAAGAAAAATTATTATAAACCAATGAGAAGTTGACACAAAGTTCCTCCAAGATGATCAAACAATTTGGATAATATGAAAAATTTCAGAACACGGTCTCTACATTTTACAAAAACCAAATATGTTTCTCTTAAATAGCAATTTATTTAGAGAGCCTAATACATAAAAAATGACATTCAGGAACAAAAAGTTGCATTTGGGCCACTAGAAAACATTAAAATTCTTATATCTGGAAAATTAATTATCATACACAATGAAACAAGAAAGTGATAGATCGAAGAGCTACCTCTGTCAACTCAGAATCTTGGGCTTTAGACAATAATGAAACTTCAGTTCTTGCATCATGGTTTTCAGTTAATTCAGCTTCAAAATCCTCATCAAAAGCAACTGGAGGAAAAATTTCAGATTCAGAAGTTATGTTTATGTATAAGACTAGTATAAATAAATAACATGGATATAACCCAAAAAGTGGGAAAAGAATGATAAAACACCAGAGCCATAGAGTGTTAGTAGTTTCAGTTCTTTTATGTAGTATTTTATAGTCGTTGGATTTGAGAGAAAGAGCCCCGTTAAATGTAAAGCTGCAAGACGAATCGTCCGGGGACTTTTTGTGCCCTCCTCCAAAAGCTTTTCAACAAACTGTACCATTGATGTGAAGAAACAAATGAGATAGCCCACTAGAACTACTACATGCAAAAAAAATGCATATGGACAATATAGTAACACCCTTACACTCACACCCAACCCCATATATAATGCACATATGCACATGCAGAAGAGAAGAACCACACACCCATTTTAGCGGCCCAGGTTCATTATCAGTATCATGCATGTCTACATCACAAAACAAGGATGGATGCAAGACAGAAGATAACAAAGCAGCAATATGTGCAACCCTCCGCTTGTTGCAGCTGGTATGTAATATCCAAGAGGAATGAACCAAACGCCAAATCATCTGCATCAATTGATATTGTTAATATAGCTTCTTCAATGAAACAAAGATACTACAAGATTAGATGGTAAATGGAAAAATGCTACGGATGAATTAAGATTCCTTCATGTCTGCATAATTTGTTTCTCTGAGCATTTCCACTAACATGTTTGCGAATCAAAGACACACACAAACAAAAATGGCAATATAAAAAAGGCAGTTTACCAAGGCAATAATATAGAAAAGACAACACAGAAATTACCTTCAGAAATTAAGGGAAAACAGAAGTAAAGGTTGATAATGTAGAATTAGAGAAGGGAGCGACCTAATAAATGTCATTGAGTAGCATCATTGGATAAATGTCATCAAACTTCTTATCGGCATTCACAATCTTCACAAATAGCCCATCAAATTTAGACCCCATTAAAATTTTCGGATTCCAATATAGAGTTGAAGGTTTTCTGGATCGGGTTTAAAGAGAAAGATTGACTGTTAGATATGAGTATAGAATGGGTGAATTAGATAACCAGTGAAGTTGATAGCAACTGCCACAATTTTTGCCGATATGGCTGATGGATGGGACAAGGAAAAGGCATTGGTAGAGGCTGTAAACGTTTGGTTTGGTTTTTCTTAGGTAAAGGGTTTACTTTCCTATCAGCCATAGAGTCACTAATCTGTTTAATAGCGATCACTTCAACTAAGCAAGTAATTAAAACAAATACTCCAGCTAAGGGAAGACTTCTAATAGTATAAGATACCAATAAATAAGATATCATAATACTTCTAATAAAATACTAATAATTGGTTTTCTAATAATAACCAAATACTTCTCTTAATAAGATATTAATAAATTAATTTCCTAATAATAATCCAAAAATATGATGCCAATAACAAAGCCAACCCATAACAAAATCGCTCAAACAAATGACAATAAAAAACAACACCAAGAAAGAAACTGGTGAAAGAATACAAATGAACACCATCATACATTGAGATACAGCGTGACTTATCTGTTTTTTATTTCTGACACAAATTACTGAAACTATGAATTACCTCAAAAAATATCAAATTGATTTTGTGGCTACCATTGCTAATGAAAGAAAAAAATTTAGTGTCTATAAAATTCAGGGCAGGGAAATTCAGTCTAGAATTTGCAACATTATCCTCTGCCATCATTTTGAAGATAAAATAAACCATGTATCCAGGACCCCCAGAAAAGACCCCGGTGATGAATAACCGTGTTCCACAATAGCGTAACTGAGGTATTCAACCATCCTTAATCAAAACTATAAACGAACATTGCTTTTAACGCATAAAGAGTGCAGAAATGATAACCAAATATTGAAATCTCAAACTTAATATTCTGCAACAGTGTTGAAATAGCAATTGCATCACAATTCACACATAAACCATACCGAGCAAAAGGCCCTCAAAATGCATTGAAAAAATATCATATATGCATAAGCTTAAAATCAGAAAAATTATGTGAACCTGAGAATCTACACCAGCGAATCTGGAACCAACTGAAGGCAACCTTCTTGAAGCAAATAGCTCCAAAGCCAATCTGATGGATCTCAACATGGGTAAAACAGAACCCTCCCCAGCATTCTCAAGACTGCAAAGTTATTTGGGTATAATGATCTTGTCAGAAAAACATTGATAGGGGGGAAACATTCCATCATATAACATGCTAGCAATATATGTAAAAATGCAAGTTGTGGAAATAAATGTTTACATAGAAGCACATTCTGCTTACTACAAATACTCTGGTACAATGTGGAAGGGTAGGAATGCAATTGTTTTCGAGGGGGGAAGGTAGATCAAATTGATTTATTCTTTTTGGCAAGGTGTAGACTGGCTGCTTGGTTCTTAGCTTACTACAAGGTTGTATCTATCCCTAAGGACTCTCTTATTTGTGACCCTTCACTTGGGGATTGCTGCTCCTTATTAAGCTCTCCTATTATCAAAACTGTGTCCTGGTCTAATCCTCCAGAAGGATTTATTAAGCTGAATGTGGATGCGGCTGTGACTGCAGATTGGAGGAAGAGTGGTGTTGGGGGCATTCTTAGAGTTCATGATGGTTCGGTGGTGGGCTCTTTTCAAGAGGCTGCTGGTCCAGGTCCTCCTGTTTTGTTAGAACTCAAGGCAATTATGAAAGGGTTATCTTTCTTTGACTCGTTTCAGCAGCGGTTTAAGGAAAGGTTAATTGTTGAATCAGACAGTAAATTAGCAGTGGATTGAGTCAAGAACATCGACCGTTGTCCCTATGTTTACTTAGACATTGTGACAGCTATTGTTGGCAAGGTTAGTGGACTGAATAGTAGTATTAGATGGGTTGCTAGGTCAGCCAATGTTGAGGCTGATAGTTTAGCTAAGGCTGGTATTGGATAGATCTCTGTTTTGTTTAGTTGGGTTTCTATTAGGTTTTGGGTTGCTTATTTGTATGATAGATTGTATGGTTGTTTTAAGTCTTTGTAACTTGTGGTTATCAATGAATTATTGAGGCACTCTTTTCCTCCTTCCGCTGATTAAGGAGCACCGTGTGATCCGTTAATCATGAAGGGGTTTTTTAAAGAGGCCTACCTTTCCTATAAAAAAAAAAGCCATAGTACTGTAAAAAATTAAGTACTGCAAGATATTCACCATGCAACCATCTTCAAATAAGTAATAAATAAATTAAGCTCCGTTAGTTTTTTACCTCTCAACAGTATCAGTAAAAATGTTTATCAGAGCAGCATCTGAGAAAAAAAAGCTACCATCCTCTAGTTGAAGCTTACTCTCAAAAGCATAGTAAGGAATTGAGAGCAGAGAATCTAAGATAACCCACTGCATCAATCACAGAAAATCAAATAGTATTTTGGTTTATGAATTTGTTACTTTTAATGATGAACTTGAATATTAAAAATAAGAATATTAAAAGAACTGCACAGAAAAGAAAAGAAAAAACTTTTAGTCATGATTTTGTAATGGTCACAAAGTAAATTCAAAATGCTACGTTGCACATTAGAAAAGATATTTTAACAAGGAAAAATTCAAAATTCATCCGAACTAGAACACATTAATGATTGGCTCGCATTAGAATTCAAAACATCATACTAATGCAATTTAAACCGTCTATTAAGTTATGAAATGTAACTGTATTAACATGCAAACCACTTTTATTAGAATTCAAAACCTCTTTTTTCTCAAGATTTTCTTTTGATAGGAAAGAAAGGCCTCGTTAAAACCCCCCTTCTTAACTAAGGACCTTATAGAAAGGTCATTAATCATAGGAAGGAGGGAAAGAGTGCCTTGGAACTTTTATAAATAATGAAAGTTACATAATAGTAAAAAATAACACTAAATTGCTTGACATAAGACTGAAACACTCCTCCCGTCATAAAACCTACACCCAAAATTACGAAAATCATAAAAAGACCCTTACAATCACCCAATCCCTTTCTTAGCTAAGATATCTGCCTCTCCATTACACACCCTAGGAATCAACCTAACTAAAATGAACCTTATCACTAATAAGCCTTGAAATCTGGAAAACAATAGGCATGAAAAAAATAGGTGCCAGAACCGGAGAATGAATCCATTCCACTGCAGACGAGCAATCACTTTCGACGATCAACCTAGCTACCGAAGCCCACCTAGAAGACAGAAAAATATCCAAGCCTCTTTTTATAGCTTTTAATTCTGCCAGAGGGGGGATTGCTTGACCAATACTCTCGGAGAAAGTCAAAAGAGTGCAACCATTCCAATCTCTTAATAAACCTCCAATACCTCCACCCGAATCAATCTGCCTAACGGCTCCATCTACATTCATCTTTAGGAAGTCAACTGGTGGGGGTAACCAGCGCAAAACAACACTATCAATAACATTACTAGAAGAAAACACCATCTGCTAGAGATGGATTACCAATCAGCACATCCTCATGTATAGTTATACCCGAAAATTTGGCTAGGAACCATTTGGCAATCCTGAATCTAACAATGAAGAAAAGTGACACTTTGTCAATAGGAGTTCCTTCGAAAACCCTTGCGTTCCTAAATTTCCAAACAGACCAAAAGATGGCTCCCGGAATAAACTTCCAAATCGTAGATTTCGCCCTCAACTCGTTCCAGGAACAAAGAAGAGAAGGAGGATCCTGAGGTAGAACCATGGCAATATCCCAGAAATTAGCTACCTTATTCCATAATTCCCAAACCACCGTACAAGAGATGAATAGATGCTGCACAGATTCCTCCTGATTCTTACAATAGGGACACAGAATATCATCCCCTAGGGGTATACCTCTCTTGACCAACTCGACTTTGACAGCTAATTTCTGATGAGCAAGTTGCCAAAGAAAAGCTTCCACCCGAGGTGGTGCAAAGCCTTGCCAAACCCCTTTCGACCACACTGCAGTACCCCCAGACGTAATACCGAGAGTATTCCTACAAGATTTAACTGAGAACAATCCATCTCCACTAGCAGTCCACGATAAAAAATCATCCACAAGTTCTGAAAGTTGAATATCCTTCAACTTAGACATCAACTCCAACCATTGGACCAATTCCCAATCACACAAATTTCTCCTGGTCTGAACAGTCCACACCCAACCACTCGATTCGAAGCTGCCAAACTCCTCAACTTTCCCCTCTTTAATAGGGGAAAGCACAAAAATTCTTGGAAAAAGGAATTTCAGAGGACAGTCATCCGCCCAAATGTCATTCCAAAAAGAAATAGACTTGCCATTTCCTACTTTCAATTTCGAATTTGACCTTAGACAATCTCCCACCGAATCATCCTTCAGATAATTATTAGCTATTCCTCTCAAAATCCAAGATGAATGAGGATGAGAGACCTCCCTAATCGACAACGAATTCCTACTAACCTTATGTCTGCTACACAGCACGCCTTTCCAAATGGAATTTTTGTCATTGGCAAATTTCCACACCCACTTACCTAGAAGAGCCCGATTAGTGAGGTTCAAATCAAAAACACCTAATCCACCACAATTTATTGATCTGCAAACCAAGCTCCAATTCACCCAGTGGATTCTCCTCTTTCCCTCCTTATCACCCCATAGGAAATTGGCCATTAACGAGTTTAACTTCTTACCAATAATACATGGCATTCTAAACAAAGAAAGGAAGAAAATTGGTAAGGAAGATAACACCGATTTCAGTAAAACAGTCCTACCGGCCAATGATAAACATGAAGCTTTCCACCCAGCAAGTTTGGCACTAAAGTTCTTAAAAACAGGATCCCAAAGAGCCTCTGAATTCTTCTTGGCACCCAAAGGAAGGCCCAAATATTCTGTTGGAAAGGAACCTACTAAGCAACCCACTTGTGAAGCCCAATCTTTTAATTCATCGTCCTCCATGTTAATCCCAAACAGCTTACTCTTTACCAAATTTAAATGCAGACCTGCCATTATACTAAAAATCCTCAACACTCGTTTAACGTTCTTGAGCTGAGAAATCGAAGCTTGGCAAAAAAATGATTAGGTCGTCAGCGAACTGAAGATGAGACAGCTTAGTTGTATTATCATTTTTGCCAATTGTAAACCCCTAGAATAGTCCCTTGTCCACTGCTTTAGAAAGCATCAAATGAAGCAACTCACCCACAATGTTAAACAATAATGGAGAGAGACTACAACCTTGTCGTAAACCTTTTTCCATTGGGAACTCATCCGAAGGAGACCCATTCACAAGAATTGAAATCGAAGCTGTTGAAAGACACTGTGAAATCCAAGCAGACCATCTGTTACCAAAACCCATCTCAAATCATTGCTCTAAATAAAATAGGCCATTCCACAGAATCATAGGCTCTACGGAAATCAACTTTTAGCACTACTCCTCTCAACCCTTGTTTTCTCCAATAATCAATTCCTTCATTCGCAATGAAGGCACAATCCAGCAGCTGTCTCCCCGGTATAAAGGCGAACTGAGATTGACTAATAACGTCACCAACACAGCAGCTAAGTCTCTTAGATAGCACTTTAGAGAGAATCTTGTAAAGACTACCCACAAGACTAATTGGCCTAAAGTCCCCCACACTATCCGAATTTAGTTTCTTTGGAATGAGCGTAATGAACGCATGATTAACCCCATGTTCCCAATCCCTGCCCAAATAAAAATCTTGAAAAAACCTCAAAACATGCTCCTTTAGAGTCGGCCAGCATTTCTTGAAGAAGCCCATTGTGAAGCCATCCGGACCTGGAGCTTTAGAGCTGTCCGAATAGGCTATTGCTTGCCAGATTTCCTGTTCATTGAACTGCTCCTCAAGTTTTGTAGATTGACTTTCTGTCAGCTTGGCGAAATCCAGAGATAAAGCTTCCACTTCCATTATAGACTTGTAGCTATAAGCATTCTTAAAGTAGTTCGTAATATGTGCCTTTATCAAATCCGGGTCTGAAACAACAGAACCATTAATCATCAGACTTGTTATTTCGTTCCTCTTGCTCCTGTTTAACGCAGACAGATGAAAGAATCTTGTATTTCTATCCCCATCTTTTATCCATTTTGTCCTAGACTTCTGAAACCAAATACTTTCTTCCACCCTATACAACCTCCATAGATTCGTTCTGAACTGAGACAACTGATCCCATTCCTGCTGTGAGAGAACAACGTCTTGTGCCTTAAATTCTAAATCCTGGATCTTCAATTCCAACTCTGAAATAGACTCTGCAATCCCCTGAAACTTGCTGCCAGACCACTTTTTTATTGATTTTTTTGTACCTTGTAAAAAACTGAAGAATCCCCTTCTGCTCTTACTCCCCCTCCAATTTTCCAAAGACGATTGAACCAACTCCTCAAAACCTTTCTCCTCTAGAAGATAATTAAAAAATCTGAACGGTTTAGGACCCCAATCTACTGTTTTTTCCTCCAATAAGACAGGATTATGATCAGATAAAGACCTAGGTAATAGGCTCTGCACTACATTCGAAAACATAACAGAAAATTCCCAGATATAAGAAACCGGTCCAGTCTGACCCAAGTAGAAGTCTCTCTTTTGTTACACCAAGTAAATCTTCCCCCTACCATAGGGAGATCTATTAAGTTAGTTTGCACCAGAAAATTTCTAAGAATATCAATAGATAGCCAATTCTGAGACTTTCCCAACTTCTCAGCCGGATCCAGATACACATTTAAGTCACCCCCAATGCAGACTGCCACGGTTTGAGCAGCGACAAAATCCAACAACTCCCTGAAAAATTCCTCCTTTTCTGAATCAATTGAAGGACCATAAACATTAATAATCACACACTCTTCATTTGAATTCTTAAATCTTCCAAAAACTGCTATGAATCTGCCCGTTAAATGGCTATTTGAAACTTCGAAAACCATATCATTCCACAAGACCAACAGTCCACCTGCCGAACCCACTGCTGGAACGAAAGTTCCTCCATTAAGAAACCTTCCACCTAACCTCCTCCACAATGCCTGAGAACAACATTCTAACTTAGTTTCTTGGATGAGAAGAATACACGGCTTATGCTTCTTAACCATATTTGCTACAGCTCTAGATTTCTCCTTTTTACCCAAGCCCCTGACGTTCCATGAAATTATCTTAATCTTCATCATATATACACAAAAACAGAAAATCCTCGAAGTAAAGAAATAAACCAGAAACCTATTCCCCCGGGCCCGTCCCTTCCCTATCTTTAACCAATCCCTCCTCAAGATTAATAATTTTTTCCAAGAATATCTTCTTCCCCTCTTTAAATGAGATCCCTAGAATTTTACTAACTTCCCAGGTGGCCAGAGCCTCCTCCAAGAAAATCGAGAAATTAGAGGAAGACACTGTACGAATGCTAGCCACATCCAGAGCTTCCCTAGTCAAGATCCTTCTCCTTCTTCCCTTCTCCTTCCTACCCACTGGATTACACTGGCTCCCAGAACCAACCACTTCTACACTCTTATCCTGCTGAAAGTTGTCTCCTGCTGAAATGAAACTGGATTCGCCTTCCACCTCAACCTCTGTGGGACTTCCCTCAAAAATCTTGGGGAAAGAATAGTTACTTAGGATAGGCTTACTAATATTCCTGTTAAGATCCATCAACACCAAGGGTTGCACTACCCCCTCCTCTCGACTTGGGTTAAACCACACCTTTCTGTTTCTAGATCTTCTATAAACTCTAGATATAGCTCCACCACTCCGCCTTCCAATCGATGCATTTCTAATGTGAATACTCCTAGACAACTGTTCTAATGGACTCCAACTTCTTAAACCTTTTGCAAAAGACCCTTTGTTATGCCCTGACCCCTGAATGCTACCCGTGGTGACTGTCCTTGCTTCCCTTTCCACCATTGCTTCCTCTACACTGCTTACTTCCTTGTCCAGCACTTCTACCGCCTCTGACATATCTTTATTAGACTCTTTTAGAATACCACACGGCTGGGACTGAAATCTAGCCTTGTCCCCATCACATGTCGAAAAAGAGTTAAGATCTGATGAAACAGTAACCAAATTCTGTTCATTGGGTTCAAACAAAACATTTTGATGTTGCTCTCCTACTGCCTCCACCCAAGACTCTTTAAGTTTACCATAGCCCAATTTATTTAAAATCGAAGCTGGCCCAGAAATAGAATTGGGCTCACTGGATTCCTTTGACTGGGCTTTATCACTTTCATTAAGGAAGACTTTCCTGAACCCAAGACCTCGAAAATCCCCTTCCAAATTCAAATTTTTTCCAGGAAAGTCTGACACCTTCACACCACTATGTTGACCTTCATTTTCCTGCAACATTAAATGCTGCCCCCCTTTGCCGCCTGCCAAATCTGCACCAACCACCCTTACCGACCCTTTGCCCCCTGCCTCTGATGTACCAACTTCTCCTACCAGCCTCCTGTCTACTTTGTCCCTAGACTCTACAGCTAGCAATTCTAGACCGCCCACCCCGCCTGAGTACCGATCCTCTTCCTCCTCTGATGAAGCTTCATCTCTGAACCTACCTTCTCCCGCCACCATAGAATTTTTTGCAGAAAAACTCTCCTGTTGTAAACTAACCGATCCCACAGTAATTTTGACCTTAAAAGATCTCCCATACGCACCCAATGTAACAGATTCCTGGATATCGAATGGACTGGCCACCCTCAATAGAACTCGTGCTACCGCCATGTCCTCTTTTCTGACCGTCGACTCATGAAAGCATACCAGCTTCCCCCATCTTAATACAAGTTTTTCCAGAAAGGGAATATTCCAGCAAAGTAAAGGGATCCCAACTAAGTCTATTGAACAAAATGCCATCGGAACACCATCAACATTCATAACCGGATCAAGCCAGTCGAACCAGAAGAACAGTTCCTCCCGTCTACTTGACCAAGCCTCCTCAAAATCTTCCATCGAACCAAACATTAGGATACATGAGTTCCATGTAAATCCCCATTTAGCTCCCTTAACCTTAATCCCCTCACTAGCCAGCCTCTTTACCACTATCTCCAAATCTAAATGAGGTTTGATAATCCCAGTTAAAGATCTTTTCACCCAATTATAATCATCCGGGGGAATATGCATTTCCCACAAATTCCTCATCCCATTAACCATACCTGAGAGACCCTCTCTGGTCCTTTTACTCACTGGAACTTCCCTCCTCCCATCCACAGAGACAACTGCTTCCTTACTCGGTCTTTCATAACTTCCCGCCCTATCATACTCCTCTCTATCCTGTGCGTTCACCACCTCTTTGTACGTTCTGCCATCCCTAGGGCTGTTCTGCTTCTCCAAAACCACCTGCTGCCTACCTTCCTCCCCTCTCACTTGCTTTTTTACTTCCCCCTGTAAACTTTTGTCATCAGTTGCTCTTCTCCTTTCCTTCCTATACTTTGCAACCCCCACTGAGACTCTTCTCCCATCTATCAATGTGCCATTGACATTCTGAATCGCTCTTCTACAACCTTCCTCCTTCGCATATTGCACAAAGGCAAAAGTCGACGACTTATAATTTGGTTTCACCATAAAAACTTGGAATAAAAATCCTTATAACACGACCGTAAATATCAAAGATCTCTCTTAACTCTCTTCTAGTAACTCTCTTACTAAGATTATCTATGAAAACAGTCCATTCCTTATCGGAAGAAGAACGAACTGTCTCAAGCTCTCTAATTCTCTCTCTACCAGTCTCACTCATGGTTTTTTTGGGCCCAAAACCTTTTAGATTCTTCAATTATCTTTTACAGGAGAAAGGCTTTGATGATTTTGTGGTTAATCTTGTGGCAGTTGAGAAGAATAAGAGGAATTTTGGGGGAATTTTCAGAATGCTTCATAACGTTAAAATCCAGATTAGAAGTTGGCCTGGAATCAGCAATGTTGGTCTGTCAAACTCCATTTCGGTTCTTGAAGGAAAGATAGAGAATTGGGAAAGGAAGTCGCAAGGTGGAATCTTGTCCAAAGGGGAGTAGGATCAGATGGTAGAATGTAAAAAGGAGTTGTGGAGGCTGTTAAGGAATGAGTTTCTCAAGATTTTCATGCGACATTTTTATGGTTACGGCAAATTAGAAGGGAACAAGAACATGAATTTAAAAGTACTGATACAAAGCAAAAAATTTAGGTCACCATCAATCTCTGAAGGCAGAATTAGAAGGAAAACTTAATAAAAATTTTAAAAATATATTATAGATAAAATTTTTATCATTTGTTATCCAATTTCTTTTTTTTTTTTTGATAGGAATAGGAGGTCTCATTAAAAACCTCCCTCTTAGTGGACCTTACCCCTAAGGTAAGACCCAACTAGCGGAAGGAGGAAAAGAGTACCTCAATTTATTAATGATAGCCAAGTTACATAAGACTTAAAAACACTTTTACATACAATATAAGACCTCACACACTCCTCTAGCTTCTTAGCTCATAAACAAACACCAACTAAAACAGAAAAAATCGTCACCCGATCCCCTCTTTTGCTAGCTTGTCAACCTCGCAATTACAAGACCTTGGAATCCACCTAACAATAAAATTTCTAAAAGAAACAATAGATACAATTTCCTTAACAAAATTTGAAAGGAAAACAGGAACCAAAACTTGGTCTTTGATCCAATCCACTACAAGCTTGCAATCACTTTCAATAATGAGTCTGCCCTTCAACAACCATTCTGAAGAAACAAAGATATCAATGCTCTTTTTATAGCTTTCAGTTATGCTAATAGGGATGAGAAGGACCAACATTTTCTGAAAAAAGAGACAAGTATAACCTGATTCCAATCCCTGAGAAGACCCCCTATTCCAGCAACTCTCCCAATTCTACTAAAAGCCCCATCCACATTCAACTTAAAAAAAATCTACTAGAGGAGGAATCCACCAGCACACAGGTCTGAGTAGTTCCTTAGAAGCAGAGATACTATCTGCCAAGGAAGGATCACCAATTAGAGAATCCACCTTAATAGAGGAAAGAGGATATTTTGCTAGAAACCATCTTGCTAGCCTTAACCGAACAGTGAAAAACAGTGAAAGTCTATCCAAATTGCCATTATCAAAGGTAATTTCATTTCTAATTCTCCAAATTGACCATAACACTACACCCGGAATAAACTTCCAGATAACCGAAGTAGGCCTCAAATCAAACCAAGAACTAAGTAAGGATGGAGGGTCAAGTGGAAAAGCTAGACTAATACCCCAATAACAAATTAGTTTATTCCATAGCTCCCATGAAACTTGACAGAACAAAAAAAGATGCTGGACTGATTCATCGCATAGGTTGCATAAAGGGCAAAGAGTATTCTCCCCTATAGGAACCCCCCTTTTCATCAATTCCATTCTAACATAAACTTTTTGATGAGATAGCTGCCAAAGGAAAGTCTCCACTCTAGGAGGGACTAACCCCAGCCAAACACAGTTTCTCCACTAATATGTATCCTCATAAACAGACTCTAGAGATTTCCTGAACTCTTTGACAGAAAACAACCCCTCCCCCAAGCCATCCCACAACAAACAATCCTCCAAAGACTCAATCAGTTTAATGTCTTTAAGGCTGTTCAATAACTCAACCAACTGCAACACTTCCCAATCACATAGATTCCTCCTCGTTTTAATATTCCACTCCCATCCATTCAAGTCAAAACTTCCAAAATCAGCCACATTGCCATCTTTGTTAGTAGAAAGTGCAAAAATCCTAGGAAAAAGTATTTTTAATGGACAATCCCCAAGCCAAGTATCCTTCCAAAAAGAGACAAATTTTACATTCCCTATTTGTATTTTTGCATGAGATCTAAGGCAACCTTCAATGAAGTCATTCTTTGAGAAGTTATTGACAATTCCCCTCCAAATCCACGAGTCTTTTTGAGAGAGGGCCTTAGTGATATTCAAGGAATGACAACTCATATTATGTTTACTACAAAAGAATTTCTTCCATATCGAATCTTTCTCATTTGCAAACTTCCATACCCACTTCCCCAACAACGCTCGATTGGTAAGATTCAAATCAACAACTCCAATTTCTGGATTGCGTCAGAATCAACATTACAACTATGAATGAGTTCAGACACCACAACTAAACGAAAAAGATGAAGCGAAAAAGATGAAGGGAGACCAACCGTAAATATAACAAATAAGCATTACCTTCCAATTAAGCAAAACTGCCCGCCTCGTGCGGGCCATAAATCCAACAGCAAGAAGATTATTGATATTCTGAAGAAAAGAAAGAACCAAGGTATCTAACCAAGGTTCACCTTCCATTGCAGGTTGCAATGACTTGCTATTTTCCCTAAAAAGGAGCAAAGTTTGAGAAGACAATACAGAGATAAGGGCCTTCAACGCAGGCGCTAATGCTTCATATGCAGCAAGACATATTTCTGCTTCAGTCTGGTTTGAGGCAACCATATTAGCCACAAAAAGTTATAAAAATTGAAAATAAAATGTTAAAAAATAGGCCATATTTTCCAACAGGATGCCTGAAAACTCACCTCAGAGTTGCAAATTGGAGATGCAATGGTATTGCATAAGAATTTCCACACAGCCGTGAAGGGTGAATTTAATAGAATGTCACTTCTATGTTGTGCACACCAAGCATAGGTGCATGCAACAGCTTTAATGGAGATTGTCTGTTCATATATATGAAATTGAGACATATTACATCTTCTGCTTAAAACAAAAAGACATAATGTAAAAGTTGCCCTTACTATTTGCCTTTGGCCCCTATTCTTTTTTTTCCCCTTTTTTGAAGCACTTTAGCCTTTAATGATAAAAGAGAATTTTATAAATGAGAAATGGAGAGGGGCAGCAATTAATGAGACCCTAATGTAATCATCATATCAAATTATATATTTTGCAGTGGATGAAGGTCCACTAAAAGTTCTTGACAACATAAGCTACTAAAATAGTTCTAAAGAAAAATAAATTAACAAAATGAATAAATAATATAATGGGACATACAGCTTGCAACACAGCAGTTGTCAAAGAAATTGATAATCGTCGCTGACTAGGACCGCCAAGTTTTCCTCTCACAGAACCAGGCAGAACCTTGTCCTCTATATCAGAACCAGAAAAGAATATGGAACAAGACAAGTTGGCAAAGGACACAAGTTCCTCCTGCATGTCAGACAGAATACCTGGGTAGAGCTCTCTCAATAACAAGCGACTAGCAATGCTCATTATTTGATAAAATGATTTAGGAATGCTCATAATTTAATAAAATAATTTGGGAAGGCATACCAGTACAAAAAGTACAGAATCAGTGAACATGTTGTAAATGTTTGAAGCTTCTACATCACTTGATTGCTCCTCCTGTGTCTCCAGTAAGCCAATTTCATATTTGTTTTGTACTTTGAACCCATGCTTTCTTCTTTGTATCACCTGGATCTCTTGAATTAAGCCTAATACAAGGATATGAAACTTCACAGGCATCCACTCTGAATGATTCTTTTGTTTACAAATATTTGTTCCATGATTTTGTATAAACTGCACAATACAACATAAACAACAATGTCAGAGTCCTATTGGGCAAAACTATAAATGATTTCTGAAAAGGAATGCCAAAATCGACAGATATCTCTGCAAACAATTCTTTGTGCAATCAACTTGACGAACATTTCCATGGGAAACAGAAGTCTCTACAGCCCTTCAACTAGACTTACTAGACAAAATGCATTAGGATTCCAGATGGTTAACAAAACAAAGGTATTTGGAAGAGAATAAGTGAATAACACAAGTATCCTAACAGGATAAGATAGATAAATAAAATTATAACCAACAAAGGACCATGATGGAGAGAAAAAGATCATTAACCAAGATAATTAGAGCTGTTCTTTTTCAAATTGATACTGAACATTCATATTTCATACCTTAAAAAAAGACTAAATATTATAGTTGATGCATTTTTATGCTTGCATTTTAAAACTTCGATACGAAAGAGTATAACCATTAATACTTTAAGTGGAAATATGATTATTTTTTCCAGTTACATTCTATAACCTAAAATATATACCTATCAACAACAGGAAAATAATAAATGATAATAAAAAGATCGAGCACGTAAAGGGAAAATTGAAGGCAAACCGTTATTAGAGGTACTAATTGATGTTCTTCCTTGATTACAAGAAAGAGTACTCTTGCCCATCTTCTCACTTCAAATTCCCATGCATCCAAGTCCTCATCATCAAAATTTTGAAACGGGCCATGATGAATAATGAACCTTTGTGGAAATTCATTGAGACTTTCCATAAGCTGCATCTGGATACCACCAGAATGTGAAGCCTGGCAGTTTTGCAGAAGCCAGTCTTGCACTCTTACACGTAGCGAACCTGAAGAGAAGGAACAATTTAATTATGCATATAAAAAAAGCTCCTCCATGAAGAAAATAGACAAGCAAAGATACTTCAGAAAATAAATCCATGCTATAAGAATTGAAGAAGATCAATGAGAAGAGAGGAAAATCCAGATAGTATGGTAAAAAGTACAAGAAGCAAAGTTTAAAAAACAATATTTGATAATTCAGGGATAAGTCTAATTATATTTTAATTATCCTCTCCAAATTATGTATCATCGAAAATAAGTAATTTTGACATGAATCTCGTCCATCACTGATTCATTTTTCTAAAAACACCACCAGCAGTATTCCCAGACAACTTAAGAATCTTCTGAACCCAGTTGTCACCATACTCAAAGCTTGCTACACAACACCAAAAGTGTCACTATATTATGCATTATGCAACAATCATTTCCTCAATAAAGCCCCCCTTGAAATTAGTCTGCTTTTGCAACCTCCAATCCCCCAACTCCAGTGAAGAGAAAACATATTTCTGTCAGGAAAGTGAAGTTGAAGACAAGTGAAACAGTGAAAATGAGTTGTTATGAAGTTTGATGAATAAAACTTTCAGCTCTTTTTTCTGTATAAAATCAACCGGCTCAATTTAAGATCTATAATAATAATAATAACAATATTATTAATAATAATATAAAGAGAGACTCAACATAAAGCACACCAAATTCAAATGAAAAATTATAGATGTCATTATGGATAAATGCAGCACACAAGAAGAAGATAGGCATAAGGAAACAAATGAAGCTAGCAAATAGCTAATTGATAATATAAGTCGTATGTTTTTCCTACCACCATAATCAGTAACTTCCCGCGGCAAAGTAGAGATGAAGTGCAAAAGTATCTCAAGGGGAACATCACTTGCTGGCACCAAAGAAGCAGCAGCCTGCACTACTTTTTCACAGACTGACAATTACAGGAAAAAAGTGACACAAGGATTTCAGTGCTTGCACAGTATATATGCAACTATAAGAAACCTTTTTTAGAATTTAAGCAGATCAGTACCTCGAAAACGGTAATTAGGATTGAAATGATGTTTGCTACTCTCAAGAACATATCGAAGAACATCGAGCAACTCTGTCCCATTATCATCCTGAGAGTTCTCCAAAGAATATTCCAGTTGGACCTTATCAACAACACCAAATTCACAAGATTCTGCTTTATTGTCGCTGTATTTACGAGCCCCAAAAGCAGATGCAGCAATACATTCTGCAAGACCCATCAATCCAGCTCTACTAAAAGATATACTTTTAGCAAGGGATGCTAAGCTGTTTAAAAATATAGCGGCTTCCCTGTAACAATCCCAATAGAACAGTTATTGTCCATCAATTTTTCTAGGCATTTCTACAGTTTAGAGATTTGAGTACTTTCTCTTGCATTTGTATGTATGCCTGCACTGATAGGCATGACATGAAGCTGTGGTGCCAAACTAGAAAACACCACTATATAGATCCATTGGCCCATTGGGCCCAAAGGTTGAAGAAAGGGAAATAACTTGCGAGACATGTAAGTATCATACATTGCAGTAATTGACCCATCTATCATCTGAGAAGCCAGAACTTTCTCTTTCATTTGTGCATACATGCAATCACAGGTAATACATGCACATTGGCCCACTAAAAAAATTGTTTTAAGGTTATTTATAGAGAAAAAAAATAGACTCATTGGAGCCCAAACCTAGAAGAAAAAGGATCTAACAGGTCAAAACAGCACACTTGGAATGAATGAAATGTAGGGTAACCAACATGTTACTGGAAAGCCTCATCAGATTCAATATGAAGCCATGTGCTCTAAAATACACCTTCACCAGATTTCAAGTCAAACAACTATTTTAGGATTTATAAACATAAAAAGTAATAACAAAAAATGAAATGAGGAAGAAAGAAGTCCTAAAAAGCTGCAATATGGAGTTAAAAGAAATATAGTTTTCTCAACTACCAAATATCTAAAAACAACCCAAAAGAGCAAAGCGATCACATAACATACGGGTCTTTATATTTCATGTGTTATCTTTATGTATCTAGAAATCATTACTTTGGCAACCGTGAGTCAAGCCTAAAGGAAAAGATCTGACTTGCGTTTAAATAACAGAGCTTACCAATAAGATTCTAACCAACAATCATTATTGCATGTCAATGACAACATTGATGAGAAAGAAAAAAGAAAAACAATGCATAACTCCTTGCAAAGCTAACTCGGTTTTACAGTTTTCTACACGTAGCTTTCTACAATATTTGGAAAAAATCATCAGGCATAAAATTCATACCTTGCGTCCATGTAACTTGAATAATGATGCAAAAAGTGGGCAGCACCCTCAATCGTTTTTGAAGAGTAAACTCCTTTAAAACCTAAAAAGTTGAGCAAAATAACAACTGGTTGAAATATGGATTTCTAAGTTATTTATATAGTTCAGAAGGTTCAAAGAAACATTAACTAGTCAAAATAGATGGAGTAAACTGACAACTGCACAAATGAATTGAATGTAAAGATTGAGACTACAAAAAATAAGTGAACAATCTGCAGCATCTGTGTACTGATAAGGATATGGAAATATAGCAGTATTTGCCTACCAATGAAAAGATTGAAGCTAGAAAATAATATGTTGTAAAAGTTTATAAAAAAAACATGAGTGAGAGAGTCAAAAACGTAGAGAGAGAAAGAGTGTTAGGACATTCTTCTGTTGGGGAGAGCTGGACGATTTTCGTTGATAATCTTAGTAAGAGGATTTCAAGAGGAAAGTTAAGGGAAATATTTCATTATTATGGTCAAGTTGTGAGGATTTTCATACCAAAGTTTACTCTGAAGCCAAGGTATACAAATTCTACCTTTGCGTTTGTTCAGTTTGCAAGTGAGGAAGGGAGAAGGAGGGCTATACAGTCTGTAGATGGAACTTGGATTGACGGGAAAAGGGTTACAGTAGGGATAGAAAAATATCGAAAAAGTCGGGAAGGAGAAGCTTCTGAAGGTAGGACTGAGAGGATCGATTCAAAGGCATTAAGGGTGGAGAAAACAAAAGGACTGAATCATGTTGGGTCTTTGGGTAATTTGAGGGATAGTAGATCATACAAGGAGGAGGTGGAAACGATTAATGGAAAGGAGAGTGAAAATGTTACTGAGGGAGTTAGAGACAGAACAATGAAGTCTGCAAATGGGTTAAGGAATGTTTGGGAGATGCACATTCCTAAGGAGGATTCGGACTGGGTTAAAAGGTCCTTTACAGGGGTAATCAAGCTTCAATTCAAGCAGGATTTTGTGCAGAAAGCTTTGGAGAATGAAGGTATGCAGGTTAAAATAGCGAGATGGGGTTATGCATGGAATGCCTGTGTCGTTACGTTCAATTCGATTGAAGAGTATTCCGAAGTATGGGCACAAAAACAGGAGGATCTGTTTTACTGGTTTGAATGAATGGCTCCATTGCTGAATGAAGAGGGAGTGCCATTGGCGTTCTGCCTGGTGGAATTAGTGGGGTTGCCGTTATTGTGCTGGAACGGGGAGTTTTTGGAGAAACTTGTTCAGAAATGGGGAAATTCATTTGCATTAATGAATCCTCAAAAAACAGGTCAGACCTATCGTTGGCGAGAGTTTTGATTAGGGTGGCGAGTCCATTTGACGTCCCGGAATCGGTCACGGTTGGGTCCTACGGCAGATCATACAAAGTCAAAGTCATATTGGGTTCGATTAATTCAAAATCAGAGGATTTCTCAGGGGAGAAGGCTGGTGAAATTTCAAAATTTGGGAACAGTGATAATGATTTTTCCGAGGAAGAGAGAAGCCGCCGACAGTCACTGGAGGAAGTTGACAATCACAAGAAATCTGAGGACTCTAGGCATAAGGTAGATGGGTGGCTTGATTAGGGTCAGAGTAGTTGGCTGAAAGAGGGGGACGAGGAGCAGTTTATTCCAGAAAAGTCAAATATGATACCTATATTTTTGGGTTGTCAGATTTTCTTGGAAAAGGAAAATATCATAAAGGGGATCACGTGGGTCTTGGGTTGAGGGAAGAAATGGGCCTTGATGTTCAAGCCCAAGAGGATGATAGTTGGAGTTCAATGTCAAATATGAAGACTTTGTGTCCTTCAAGGTCTGCGTATAATTTAAAGTGGATTGGTGAAGGGTCCAAAGGAAGATTTATTCCCCATTTAAACAGGAATTTGAATAAGCCAAGGAATGAAATGGTGGAGGATGGGGTGGACTTGGACAAGGTGGTTAAAAATGTGGTAGATACAGAGGTGGAAAAGGAAGCTTTACCGGTTGAACCAGCTGGAATTCAGCCACTGGAAATTTCTAAGGGTTTGTTATCAAATGGTCTAACGAGCTGGAGTCCTTTGGCTCATTTATCTAGAAGTTTGGCTATTAGAACCGTTCCGATTGGAAGGTGGAATAGAGGTAATTGTAATAGAGTGTACAGAAGAACAAAAGTAAGAAAGGTTTGGTACAATCCGAGTAGAGAAGAAGGGTTGCTGCATTCAGTTGAGCTGATTGACCAAAATGGAAAAGCATCTAATCATATCGTGAACACTCATTCGGTTCCAATTTTAATGGAGGAAGGTAACAGTTGTGTAGATGAGGAAGGTGGTTCTTGTCCAAAAGAAGATGCTGATAAATTCCAGCATTCTGAGAGTGGAGAAGAGGTTCAAGCAGGTTGCTTATCTGGAGTAGGGACAGGGAAACAGAGAAGGAGAGAGAGAAGGATTTTAATAAGGGAAGCATTGGATGTGGTTAGTTCTCCTACGGCCTACTCTCCTTCTTTCTCGTTGTTTTTGGATGAGGCATTGGCTACGTGGGAAGTTAGTAGGATGCTGGGGATTTCCATCAAAGAGGGGAAGAAGGCTTTTTTGGAAAAAATAGTAAATCTTGAGGAGGGTTTGGGGGATAGTAGGAATTGCTGAAAGTAGCGTTCTGGGATTTGGTGCTACATGGTTCAGAGGCTGTTGGGTTCTTATTGTTTTGTTTTTATGACAGTTATCAATATTATTTCATGGAACATTAGGGGGCTGGGGAAAAAGGAGAAATCCAGAGCAGTGTCCCGTTTGGTGAAAAAGAATAAGCCATGAATCTTACTAATCCAAGAAACAAAGCTAGCTAATTGTTCTATGGCTCTTAGGAGAAGGATAGGGGGAATTTTCTTAAGGGAGGAGTTTTTTCATCAGCTAATGAGACTGCAGGTGGACTGTTGGTACTGTGGAATGAGAATGAATTTGAAGTTTCCGAAACTCATATAAGTGGCAGATTTATAGCTATATTTGGGAAGTTTAAGACTATGGAAGATGAGTGTGATTATAAATGTATATGGTCCGTCAATTGAATCAGAAAATGAAGAATTTTTCAGGGAGTTGGTGGAGTTTGTTTCTGCTCAAACTATTTCAATTTGCATTAGGGGGACTTCAATTTGTATCTTGATCCGGCTGAGAAGTTGGGAAGGTCTCAAAATTGGCATTCTGTGGATATTCTTAGAAATTTCCTGCAGTTAACGAATCTAATTGATCTTCCTTTGGTGGGTGGAAGTTTACTTGGTGTAATAATAGAGAAGATTCAACTTGGGTCAGACTGGATAGGTTCTTAATTTCTGGGAATTTTCTTACCAGTTTTCCGAGGGTAGTGCAAAGACTGTTACCTAGGTCTCTATTTGATCACGATCCAATTTCTTTGGAGGAATTGTCTGTGGAGTGGGGCCTTAAACCTTTTAAATTTTATAATTATCTATTAGAGGAAGAAGGTTTTGAGGACTTGGTTAAATCAACCATGGATGGCTTGAGGGAGAGGAACAAAAGAAGTGGCATCTTCAGTATTCTACAGGGAACTAAAAAATCAATTAGAATCTGGTCAAGCAAGAAATTTAATGGGATTTTTTAGTCGATTGAAAATTCCGAAAGGAAAATAAATGAGTTGGAATTTAAGGCGCACGATAGTAGTCTCTCTACTCAGGAATGGGAACAGGTCAAGCAGCTTAGATCAAATCTATGGAGGTTATACAGGATTGAGGAAAGTATTTGGTTTCAAAGAGCAAGAACAAGATGGATTAAAGATGGGGATAGAAACACAAGATTTTTTCACTTGTGTGCTCTAAATAGAAGTAGAAGAAATGTCATTACTAGCTTGAAGATCAATGGAAGTGTTGTTTCAGATCCTATCTTGATTAAGACTCATATTTTAGAGTTTTTCAAGACCGAGTATAATTCAATTTTGACAATGGAAGTGGACTTACTTTTGGACTTTACAAAATTGTCATGGGACCAGGCATCTAAGTTAGAGGAGCAGTTTTTAGAACAGGAGATTTGGCAAGCAGTTGCTACTTCGGACAGCTCTAAATCTCCAGGACCGGACGGGTTCACAATGGGTTTTTTCAAGAAATGCTAGACTGCATTAAAGGAGCATGAGTTGAAATTTTTTAAAGATTTCTATATTGGAAGGAAGTGGGAGCATGGGGTAAATCACGCTTTTATTACTCTAATTCCGAAGAAATTAAATCCGGAAAATATAGACGACTTTAGACCAATTAGCCTTATGGGCAGTTTGTACAAGATTCTATCAAAAGTCTTATCTAAGAGACTAAGCTGTTGTGTTGGTGATGTCATTAGTCCTTCCCAGTTCGCTTTTATACCAGGGAGATAGTTGTTGGATTGTGCCTTTATTGCTAATGAAGGAATTGACTATTGGAGAATACAAGGGGTGGTACTAAAAGTTAACTTTCGGAGAGCCTACGATTCTGTTAAATAGCCTATTCTACTCAGAGGAATGAAGGAGATGGAATTTGGTATGAAATGGTGCTCATGGATCTCACAGTGTCTTTCCTCAACTTCTATTTCGGTTCTTGTAAATGGCTCCCCCTCGGATGAGTTTTCTATGGCTAAAGGGCTTAGACAAGGATGTAGTCTCTCGCCGCTTTTATTTAATATAGTAGGGGAGCTGCTGCATTTGATGCTTTCTAAAGCAATGGATAAAGGTCTGTTCCAAGGTTTTGTTATTGGGAATTCTGAAAATTCATTTCGGCTATCACATCTTCAGTTTGCTGACGATCTCATCATTTTTTGTCAAGCTTCACTTACCCAGATTAAAAACGTTAAAAGAATTTTAAGGATTTTCAGTATAATGGCGGGGTTGCATTTAAATTTAGCGAAGAGTAAACTTTTTGGGATTAACGTTGATGAGGAAATCCTATCTGATTGGGCGTTGGAAGTGGGCTGTTCAGTTGATCGTTTTCCAACAGAATATTTGGGACTCCCCATCGGTGCTAGGAAGAATTCGGAAGCTTTATGGGAGCCAGTCGTTAAAAAATTTAATTCTAAACTAGCTGGGTGGAAAGCTTCTTCTCTTTCTTTGGCTGGTAGGACAGTCCTATTGAAGTCTGT